AAAAAGGGGAGGGGAAGGGAGGGAAAGAATAAAAGATTGTCCTGTATCTTGAGGTGTTAAACAATAATATAGGTGTCCCCAAATTACTCATATTGGATCCTTACTCTCCAAAGTCATATTACATATATACACATATATGTATATATGTATGTATATACATATATGGATGTATATATATAAGTGGTACTTGTAAGTGGGACCCTGGAAACATGATTGAATGGTGAAAGCACCACCCTTATAAATGGAGTGATCCATTCCTGGATATATAGGTTATGGAGGGAGTTGCCTTGTCTTGTTTGTTTTGCCAGTCCTGGGACTTGAACTCAGGGCTTGGGCACTGTCCCTAAGATTTTTTTTTTTTTTTTTTGCACAAGGCTAGCCACAGTGCCACTTCCGACTTTTTCTGTTTATATATGGTACTGAGGAATAGAACCTAGGGCTTCATGCATGCTAGGCAAGCACTCTACCACTAAGCCACCTTCTCAGCCCCAAGTTGCCTTGTTTTTGTGTGTTTTCCTGGGCATATCTGATCTGTTTCACCATGTGATCTCCTTTACAAGTCATGACCCAGAGGGAAGGCTCCCGCCTGTGCTCAGCAGAGGCCAGTGTGATGTTCTTGCATTCCTAGCCTCTAGGGCAAGGAGCTAAGTGAGCCTCTATCTCTTATAAATTGTTCAGTTCTGTGGTATTCCCTTAGAGCAAGAAGAACATCAATAACGAAAGAGTAAGGCCATTAAAACTCACTGAACAATATACTTAAGATCTGTGAAATTTAACTACATGTAATTATACCATAAAGCCTCATGATCACCACCCAATATAACCTCTTTGAGGGAATCTACAGCCTATGAAAGACAAAGACTACAAAGGAGTAAGAGCTACAATAAAGATACTGCACAAGATACTCTACTGGTAGAGGCTTTACTTTGAGTAGCTCCAATGGAAATACCTATGTATGTATATTTATGGATGTGTAGAAAAAGCACACCAAAAGTTGTGATTTGGGTTCAGCAAACCCTTTCAAGAAGACAGGAGGCTGGGAAGTGGGGAGGGGAGGGGCTGGAAGTGTAACTCATGGGTAGAGGATTTCTCTAGTATGTACAAGGCCCTGGGTTAGATTCCCCAGCACTGGAAAAAAAGATAGGGGAAATTTATGAAAGCCTGAAATACTTTTATCTAGGAGATGTCATTACTCCAAATTTCCCCTTGAGATGTTTCAGGAGTCTCTAGGGATCAGGTGTGGGGCTGACTTAAGATACTTTTCCCTTGATAAGAATCAAAGGTACAGGGACTGGGAAGGTGGCTCAGTGGTAGAGCGCTTGCCTTGTATGCATGAGGCCCTGGAATCGATTCCTCAGTACTACATAAGCAAAAAAGAAAAAAGCCAGAAGTGGCGCTGTGGCTCAAGTGGTAGAGCACTAGCCTTGAGCTGAAGAGCTGAGGGATAGCGCCCAGGCCTACGACCGGACCAAAAAAAAAAAAAGATGAATACTAGATCAAGTATTAGGCCAGGTACCAGTGACTTATACATTTAGGAGTCTGAGATCTGAAGATCATGGTTCCAAGCCAGCTAGGGGAAGAAAAATCCAGGACTCTTATCTCTAATAACCAGGGGGGAAAAAGCCAGAAGTAGAGGTGTGGCTCAAGTGGTAGAGCGCCAACCAGCCTTGAACAACAACAACAACAAAAAGGTAAGGGTATAAAGCTCTGAGTTCAAGCTCCAGTACTGGCACAATTTTAAAAAAAGAAAAATAAAAAAAAAGGTTGGGAAGCAGGCTTTAAGTTCACCTACTAGCCAATCTAGCAAGCAGATATTTTTTAGCAACAAACTAACCAAGTTCAAAGCAACTTGTCCAAGGCCACTCAAGAGTAGTTAGAGTAGCCAGGGCTGTCATCCAAGATAACCTGCCTTAAACTGGCGCCACTGGCTCACAGTTGTAATCCTAGCTACTCAAAGCCAGTCCCAGCAGGAAAGTCGGAGAGACTCTAGTCTCCAATAAACTACTCAGAAAAAGCCGGAAGTGGCACTGTGGCTCAAGTGTCAGTACGCTAGCTTTGAGCACAAAGAGGCTCAGGCACAGTGTCCAGGCCCTAAGTTCAAGCCCCAGGACCAGGGAGGCAGGATGGGGTGGTAGTGGTGGTGGTGGTAATAATCTACCTTCAAATTCTTGCTCTTGTCAGGCAAAACCAGGAACTTGAAGTGACATGCCTGGAGTTGTTGGCTAGCAGAAAAGCAGCTACTTTTTGAGCATGACCTTTCTGAGTAGGTCATGCTCTGAAAGCATAGAAAACAGAAGTCCAGGAGCTTCCTTTCCCACAAGGCCCGTAACACTCTACAGTGATCATTTTGATTTAGTTCTTCCTGTCACCAGACTGCCAAGTTCCTTGGTTTTATTCTCACAATGCCCACTAGAGGCTCCACAGCAAATGTTCTCAAGAATATGTACTGAAAAAAGGAATTGTACCCATTACCTGATTTATGTAACTGTAACCCTTCTGTATATCACCTTTACAATAACAATTTAAAAAAACAATGTGTACTGCACGTCTAAGTTGTCTGAAGCTTCAAATAAAGGACCCTTTAGCAGATATAGGGCCTACAAGGACGATATGGGGTCAGGGGGATAGGAAGAAGTTAGGCCAGACTCTCAGGAACTCTCTTATGAGACCAAAGGCTCTTCTTAAAAGGCGATTTCCCTGAGGCCTGGCTCCCAGACCTTTTGAGATCACAGGTGTGGAAGAGGTAAGTAACCTACTTTGTTTACACACAAAAATGTCAAAGGTCAAAACGTTGTTAAGTAGCTCTAGCTGCCTGATTTAATGCAGCACCTATATATACTTTTGGAATTAATTTTATTTATTTAGAGGTCTCAAGTCCTGAGGGTTGAAGGTGAGGGTAGGGGTGTGTGCAGGAAGTATAAGTAGGCATTGTAGGGAGGAGAAACACAGAGGGGCAGGCTAGAAGGGTGCTCAGCTCCCTTCATTCAGGTTCCGTTCACTCCCCAGCCAGGATACCCTGAGTTTCCACAAAATATTCGGTAGAGCCCTGTTAAAGTACTGTATGCAGCCAGGTACCTGTGGCACACACCTGTAATCCTAGTTACTCAGGAGAGTGAGGCCTGGAGGATCAGTTTGAGGCCGGTCTTGGCAGAAGAGTTCGAAGGACTCCATCTCCAAAATAACTAGCAAAAAGCCGGGGTAGCCAGATGCCAGGGACTCATGCTGAGGAGGCTGCGATCTGAGAATATCAATTCAAAGCTAGCCAGGACAGGAAAAGTCTGTGAGAGTCTTACCTCACTAGCCATCAGAAGTGGAGCTCACTAGCTCAAAATCTAAGAGACAGAGCCCAACCTCTGAGTTCAAGCCCTTGTGCCACCACACACACACACACACACACACACACACACACACACACACAGTGAGGGAAGCTGGGTGCTGGTGGTTCACTCCTGTAATCCTAACACACACACACACACACACACACACACACACACACACACACACACACACACACACACACACACACAGAGTGAGGGAAGCTGGGTGCTGGTGGTTCACTCCTGTAATCCTAACTACTCCGGAAGCTGAGATCTGAGGATCATAGTTCAAAGCCAGCCAGGGCAGAAAAGTCCCCGTGAGACTCATCTCCAATTAACTACTAAAAAAACAGAAGTAGTGCTGTGGCTCAAAGTGGTGGAGCGCTAGCCTTGTGCAGAAGAGCTCAGGGACAGCTCCCAGCCCCTGATTTCAAGCCCCATGACCAACCAAATAAAAGCCAAGGTGGAGATGTGGCTAAAGTGGTAGAGCACCAGCCTAGGAAGTTTGAAACCCTAAATTCAAACCCTGGTATCATTAGTAATAATAATGAGAATAATAATGTTAACAAATAGTAAATGAAGTATTGCATGTAGTGTGAGGGTGTAGCGGAGCGGTAGAGTGTTTATCCTGCACAAGGGAGGCTCTGAGTTAAATCTACAGTATAGAAAAATAAATAATAAAATTGTACACTTCTAGTTTCTGAGAGTTTCCAGGAACCAAAAAAAAAAAAAAAAAAAGTTCAAGAATGAGCTTGATTTCTGGCAATAAATAAATAAAATGTTAAGATACAAAAAACAAATCTGTCTCTCAAACTTCTCTTTTCAATACTCCAACATTTAATGTTCTGTTTTCAAATATCAGCTCTAGTTCCCCAAAACACCACTCTGTGTAGGCTGCTGCTCCCCTGTCCACAGCCAGGCCCATGTGCTGTGGACAATGGAGCCTGGGGCTGGGTGGCAGGGAAGGCACAGAGCTGTGCAAGCGCCCCCCCCTGCTAGCTGGTGAAGATACATCACACTGACCCTGTCCCACAGCATAATCTGGGATTTTCCCATTACAATCTCCTGAGACACCAGCTTCTACTACCTCCTGACTGCCAGCCCCCTTCCCAGCTTTGCATTGAGGACAAGAAAGTAGGCCCAGGAGCAGATACTCCTATTGAATATTGGAAATAAATAGGAGAGACTGCTATCTTTAGAGGCCTGAGTAGGAGACACTTTGGACTGATCCCCAAATTGATCCTTGAAAGGGACCCAACTCAGAGGCGGTGTCCTGAGGGCTAGGCCCAAGTCTTGGCCCTTGCCCCTGCCCCTCAGGATAGACGGCCAAAGTTGGTCTACAATGCCTGGCCCAGTATGCCAGGAAAACAACTATCTAGACTCTGATCTAGAACTCAGAGTCCGAGCAGGACCACAGCAGCTCCCTCCCCACCCCCCATCTCCAGTTTTTTTAGTTATCTAGGTGCTAGGGGAGGGGGGAAGGGGGCAGGAGTGGGGGGTACCTCCTCCTCAGTGTGCGGCCTCCAAAACTGGACAGCCTGGGGTTGCTAGCTGGAGTGAGGCCAATCCCCAGCGAAGGCTTTACCAGCGGGACCCCCGAGTTTTTTCCTGCAGGGTGGGGAAGGGGGGCAGGGAGGGGAGGGGGGGGAACTGCCCAGCCCCCTCTCTTCCCGGGCCCGGTACCTGAGAGCGCGCATATATGGCCACTTCGCTTCCGGCCAACCCCGAGAGAGGGTGGCTCGGGTCCCCTGCACCCCCAGACTGCGGGCGCACAGTCTCCCCAGACGCAGCATCCCGAGACACACAGCCATGGCTCGCTTGGGCCGCGCGTCCCCGCCCGAGCAGAGCAAACTTTTAAAGCGAATTGAGGCGGGGCGATCGCGGAGCGGGCGAGGAGGCGGGGAGGGTCGCCTCTGCCTATGGGGTGCGGAGGACTGGGACCCTGCGGGGCGGGGCCAGGAGAGGCCAAGAGGTGGCGAATCTGCGCCCGGGGCCACCCTCGCGGTGGGGTCCCCCCACAGCCCTCCCGGCCCACTCTCCAGGAATTGCCCGGCTCTTTCCTCTGGATCCGAAAGCCAGGGCTGCAGCCCCAGACAGGGCCTCTTCCTTCCCAGCCATCGGGAGGCCTGAATTTGGGGGTGGGGGTGGGGGGCGGGCAGGGAGGAGAGCAACAAATTTGTTAACTTCATAAAAGAAAAGTCATCCGTGCGTTAATTCAGGTGCCAAGGCCAAGGCTGGTGCGTCCCCTGCTCCCCATTTAGCGCGTGGGTCACGTGGTATCCCCCCCTCCATACACACACCCCAGGTTGTGAGCCAGAGGCCAAAGGAGAAGCACCCCCAAAGCCTGCCAGATAGAAGGGAGACCCCCGCGGGGCCGGGGCCGGGGGGGGGGGGGCAGAGAGACAGCTGAAACAAAGAGTATCATATCTCGGGGCGCCAAGTTCCGGCTAAGTAAGCTTCAGTTGGTCACTCCAAACACACTGGCTTCCTCCCATCCCTCCCCAGTATCTCTGCCTGGATCCTCCAGTGGGGTTTCCAGGGTCAAGTAGTGTGGGAGATTGGGATCTGTGTCCGTAATCGTTCCTCTGCTGGCCCTAAACTTGGGCCAATTTCCTGGGCTGACCGAGGCAGGAAGGAAACACACCTGAACAGCTCAGGTCTCTCTCTCTCCCTCCCTTCCTTCCTCCTCCCCCCCCTCCTCCCCCCCTTCTCTCCTCTCCCCGACACTTTCTCCTGCCCCACCCTTTTCTGGCCCCCTAAGGCCTGAGCGTGTGGAGGACTGAGTGCGCAGAGCTGCAGAATCCACTGTCTCTCTACAGCCCTGGCTAGGAAAGATGGCACTGGATTGCAAAGGTTTGGCACAGAGTACACGCCTAGTCCCACACTGCCTAGGACTAGGGTTGACTCTTCCTCCAGACACTGAGAGGAGGAGGAGGAAAGGTCCTGGCCGGGTGGCCTGCCCTCTCCTGACTTGGAGGAGCTGGGCCAGTTGGAAGGGATGGCTGAGGGTGGAGTCTGGCCTGAGGGGACTTTTGCCCTACCCTGGGAACCTTGGCTCAGCTGAGGTCAGGAAGAGTCCACTCTGCCACTTTGATCCTCAGAGTGACTTCAAATTCCCCTGGAACTCTAAATCTGGGGCAGGATCACTATCTGACAAATTATTTCCAGTTAAGGCTGCAAGTAAATCAGAGAAATCATGAGGCATGTAGAGGGATGTCTTCCTAGTGAGCTCAACACCGGAAGTGGGAGGGATGGCCCAAGTGGTGGAGTGCCAATCTTGAGTGAAAAAGCCAAGCAAAACAGAACAAAACAGGAAAGGACTAATTAAACACATACACTGTCTCTGATCGTGCTCAGGGAACATGGCACCATGGCTGGAATCCCAACTCTGGGGTCCCAGGCATGACTTGCAGGCTCTGTCACTAGATAGCTGGGTGACACTGCATAAATGATTGTTCTGTGAGTAGTAGATGCGGGTCCCACAAACCTGGCACTGCCCACAATATTTGAGGGTCAGTTCTGGAAGGTGAGATGAGTTCCTCCCTGCATTTACCTCATGCTATTGGATGTCCTGAGAAAGCCCTATTCCCCAGCTTTACCTAATATCTATCTCTCTGTGCTTGGGAAAATGAACTGTGTGTGTGCATATGTGCTGGTTACTGGAGGTTGGACTCAGCCTATGCACTGTCACTCAGCTTTTTTGCTCAAGTCTGGCACTCTACCACTTGAGCCACTCCAGCTTTTTGGTGTTTAAGTAGAGTTAAGAGTCTCTCGGACTTTTCTGCCTGGACTGGCTTTGAACCTCCTGAGTAACTATTATTATAGTCCTGATTGAGGCTTCCTGCCAAGTGCTATCGATCAGTTACAGGAACTGAGGTTGATGAGATTCTCACAGAGAAAAACAAGGCCTGTCAGATATAGTGGTACATTCCTGGAATCCCAGCACTCATCAGCTCAGGCAAAAGGGTTGAGAGTGTAGACCAACTCCTAGATTAAGTAATGGGGCCAGCATAGGCTACACAGCAAAACCTTGTCTCAAAGAACAATGAAACAAGAGAGTCAGAGGGTTGCTTAATCAAATCCAAGAAGTACCTAGTCAGCTGCTGTTAATGTCCTTGAGAAAATTTCTTCTTTATCTCATCTAAATTTCTGTTGTGACTGTGGCATGTGAAAAATAGCCATTTTATTTTATTTTGATGATACCTAGGTTTGAACTTAGGGTTTTGTACTTGCTAGGCAAGCACTCTACCGCTTGAGCCATGCCCTCAGTCCTTTTTGCTTTCATTGATTTTGGAATGAGAGTCTTGCTTTTGACCCAGACTCTCCTAGATCTCAATCCTTTTATTACACTTCCCAAGTAGCTGGGATGACAGACATGCACCACCACACCCAGATTTTTGTTGGTTGAGGTAAGATCTGGAAAACTTTTTGCCTGACTGGTCTAAACCTCCTGATCTTAGCTTCTCTAGTAGCTAGAATTATAGGCATTCACTACCAGTCCCAGCTGAATTTTTGTTGTTGTTGTTGGTCATGGGGCTTGAACTCTGGGCCTGGGCACTGTCCCTCAGCTCTTCAGCTCAAGGCTAGCGCTCTACCACTTGAGCCACAGCGCCACTTCCGGCTTTTCCTGCTTTTGTGGAGTTGAGGAATCGAACCCAGGGCCTCGTGCATACAAGGCAAGCTCTCTACCACTGAGCCACCTTCCCAGCCCCAAGAATTGTTATTTTTAATGAGTTATTCTCCCTATATTCCTGTAATCTTCTAAGTATTGTAGCACACATCTGTGATCATAGCCCTTAGAAGCCTGAGGCGGGAGGATCTTCCATTCTGGGCTACAATAATAAGATAATGGGAAGAGGAAGAGGAAGAAAGAGAGGAAAAGGGAAAGGGGGTGGTAGAGAGAGAGAGAGAGAGAGAGAGGCGGGGGAGAGGGAGAGGGAGAGGGAAAGGGAAAGGGAGAGAGAGAAACACAAGCCATAGCAGCCACATAATAAGTGGAGAGAATGGGCTAATGGGTGCTGATGGCTCACGCCTGTGATCCTACCTACTCAAGGGGCTCTTCTGAGGATTGAGGTTTGAAGCCCAGATAGGCAAGTCTGTGAGTCATATCTCCAATTAACCACCAAAAAGTCAGAAATGGAGCTGTGTGGCCGAAGGGGTAGAGCACTAGCCTTGAGCAAAAAACTCAAGGACAACACCCAGGCAGTATTCAAGCTTGGGTACTGAAAAGGAAAGGAAAGGAAAGGAAAGATGAAAGGAAGAGAAAGGCAGGGAGGAAGGGAAGGAGGAAGGGAAAAAGAGAAAGAAAGAGAAAAATAGAAAGGAGAAAGGGAGGGGAGGGAATTTCCATCTTTGAAGAAGATATTTAAATCACTTGACACATAATTCTACCAATCAAGCCAAATAGATCCAATAGCTAATATGAAAATTCCACATAAGCAAACAAAAAAAGACTGATAAAATTTGTTATGAAAATGGGTATTTCTCACTTTCAAACTGAAAGTGAAAATGAGGAACAGACTGAACTCTACGTAGAGTAACATTAGTCTGCTCAGCATTAACTGGTGACAAACACAAGCAGATGTGATTTTTTTTTTCCAGTCCAGGGGCTTGAACTCAGGGCCTGAGCAGCTGTCCCTGAGCTTCTTTTTGCTCAAGGCTTGCGCTGTACTACTTAAGCCACAGCGCCACTTCCAGCTTTTTCTGTTTATGTGGTGCTGAGGAATCGAACCCAGAGATTTGTGCATGCTAGGTAAGCACCATACCACTGAGCCACATTCCTAGCCCACAGATGTGATCTTAAAGGATCAGTATTTTGCTGGGTGCTAGTAGCTCACACCTGTAATCCTAGCTACGTAGGAGGCTGAAATTTGAGAATCCCATTTCAAAGCCATCCCAGGCAGACAACCAAAGAGATTCTTACTAACCAGCAAAAATTGGAGTTTATATATATATATAATATATATAAATAAAATACATCTATATAATATATAGACATAATATATATGTACATATTTATATATGGCTCAATAAAGCACCACCTTGAGCAGTAAACTAAGGAAGAGTGTGAGGCCCTGAGTTCAAACCAATACACAGCACCAATATACAAGCACAGTTCAAACCAGTATACCAATGTAATAAATAGAGCATTTTCTTGCGAATAGCCCCAGGTTGAAAAGCACAATCCCAGCACCTGCCAAAAGTTGTGAAAGCCTTGCATTTGCAGAGGAAAGAAAATGGTTATCTTTTTACTTTGACTTTTTTTTTTGGTCCGTTTTGGAGGAAGATTCTGTGTTATCACTGATTTATCTAGCTTATCTTCCTTTATATAATCATCAGTTCCCGGGTCAACTGCTTGTCTTCTAGTATCAGGCCTGATGGTTTCAGAGGAAAAGAGAGGGTAGTGCCCTCAAGGCAGTGTTAGATGATCCTAAGCCTGGGACTGTCCCTGTGATATGGTGTGGTCAGGGCTATGTGAGGGCTATTGGGAAGGTGGCAGAGATCTCTTGGCAGTCTGAGCGAGTTTTGAGAAATTAGCAGTGTGTCAATGTCCTATTGCTAATGGAATAAATGATATACATTCAATGACTTAAAACATTAAAAATGTCTTCTTCTACAGTTCTGGAAGCCATAAATCTAAAATGAGTTTGTTTTTTTTTTTCAGTGGTGGGGCTTGAACTCTGGGCTTGGACACTGTCCCTCAGCTCTTCAGTTCAAGGCGAGCGCTCTACCGCTTAAGCCACAGCACCACTTCTGGTTTTCTAGTGGTTTATTGGAGATCAGAGTCTCACGGACTTTCCTGCCCAGCTGGCTTTGAACAGTGATCCTCAAATCTCAGCCTCCTGAGT